CCAAAACATCACTGCTCTAGAGGAGATCTACATGGAGGAATGGGCCAAAATACCAGCAACAGTGTGTGAAAACCTTGTGAAGACTTACAAAAACATTTGACCTGTGTCATTGCCAACAAAGGGTATATAACAAAGTATTGAGAAACTTTTGTTATTGACCAAATACTTATTTTCCACCATAATTTGCAAATAAATTCATAAAAAATCCTACAATGTGATTTTCTGGATTTTTTTTCTTTCATTTTGTCTGTCATAGTTGACGTGTACCTATGATGAAAATTACAGGCCTCTCATCTTTTTAAGTGGGAGAACTTGCACAATTGGTGGCTGACTAAATACTTTTTCCCCACTATATCTAGTATTCTTTCCTCTCTCTCTATCTAATATTTGCTCTATCTAGTATTCTCTCCTATCTATCTAGTATTCTCTCCTATCTATCTGGTATCTCTTCTATCTATCTAGTATTCTCTCCTGTCTATCTAGTATTCTCTCCTATATACAGTGGGGAGAACAAGTATTTGATACACTGCCGATTTTGCAGGTTTTCCTACTTACAAAGCATGTAGAGGTCTGTAATTTTTATCATATGTACACTTCAACTGTGAGAGACGGAATCTAAAACAAAAAATCAGAAAATCACATTGTATGATTTTTAAGTAATGAATTTGCATTTTATTGCATGACGTAAGTATTTGATCACCTACCAACCAGTAAGAATTCCGGCTCTCACAGACCTGTTAGTTTTTCTTTAAGATGCCCTCCTGTTCTCCACTCATTACCTGTATTAACTGCACCTGTTTGAACTCGTTACCTGTATAAAATACACCTGTCCACACACTCAATCAAACAGACTCCATCCTCTCCACAATCGCCAAGACCAGAGAGCTGTGTAAGGACATCAGGAATACAATTGTAGACCTGCACAAGGCTGGGATGGGGAGGATGGATGGGGCCATGTATCGCGAGATCTTGGGCAACAACCTCCTTCCCTCAGTAAGAGCATTGAAGATGGGTCGTGGCTGGGTCTTCCAGCATGACAACGACCCGAAACACACAGCCAGGTCAACTAAGGAGTGGCTCCGTAAGAAGCATCTCATAGTCCTGGAGTGGCCTAGCCAGTCTACAGACCTGAACCCAATAGAAAATCTTTGGAGGGAGCTGAAAGTCCTTATTGCCCAGCGACAGTCCCGAAACCTGAAGGATCTGGAGAAGTTCTGTATGGAGGAGTGGGCCAAAATCCCTGCTGCAGTGTGTGCAAACCTGGTCAAGACCTACAGAAAACGTATGATCTCTGTAATTGCAAACAAAGGTTTCTGTTTCAAATATTAAGTTCTGCTTTTCTGATGTATAAAATACTTATGTCATGCAATAAAATGCAAATTAATTACTTTAAAATCATACAATGTGATTTTCTGGATTTTTGTTTTAGATTCCGTCTCTCACAGTTGAAGTGTACCTATGATCAAAATTACAGACCTCTACATGCTTTGTAAGTAGGAAAACCTGCAAAATCGGCAGTGTATCAAATACTTATTCTCCCCACTGTATCTAGTATTCTCTCCTATCTATCTAGTGTTTTTTCCTCTCTCTCTATCTAGTATTTTCTCTATCTAGTATTTTCTCCTATCTAGCTAGTATTCTATCTATCTAGTATTCCCTCCTCTATCTATCTAGTATTCTCTCTATCTAGTATTCTTTCCTCTCTCTCTATCTAGTATTCTCTCCTATCTATCCAATATTCTATCTATCTAGTATTCCCTCCTCTATCTCTCTAGTATTTTCTCTATCTAGTATTCTTTCCTATCTATCTAGTATTGTATCTATCTAGTATCTCTTCTATCTATCTAGTATTATATCCTATCTATTTCGTTTTCTATCTATTTAGTATTCTCTCTATCTAGTGTTCTCACCTCTCTATCTGTCTAGTATTCTCTCTATCTAGTGTTCTCTCCTATCTATCTAGTATTCTCTCCTATCTATCTAGTATTCTCTCCCATCTATCTAGTATTCTCTCCTATCTATCTAGTATTCTCTCCTATCTATCTAGTATTCTCTCCTATCTATTTAGTATTCTATCTTTCAAGTATTCTCTCTGTCTAGTATTCTTTCCCTTCTCTCTATCTAGTATTTTATCTATCTAGTATTCTCTCCTATCTATCTAGTATTCTCTCCTGTCTATCTAGTGTTCTCTCTATCTAATATTCTTTCTATCTAGTATTCTTTCCTCTCTCTATCTAGAATTTTCTTTATCTAGTATTATCTCCTATCTAGCATTCTCTCTTCTCTCTATCTACTGTTCACTCCTATCTATCTAGTATTCTCTCCTATCTAGTATTCTCTCCTCTATCTAGTATTCTCTCTATCTAGTATTTTATCTATCTAGTATCTCCTCTATCTATCTAGTATTCTCTCTATCTAGTATTCTTTCCTCTCTCTCTGTCTGGAATTATATGTATCTAGTATTCTCTCCTATCTATTTAGTATTCTATCTATTTAGTATTCTCTCTATCTAGAATTCTCTTTATCTAGTAGTCTCTCCTCACTATCTATTGTGATCAGTCCAGAGGGGTTCCGATCTATGCGGTAGCGAGGGGTGGTGTAAACAGTGGAAGAGTCTGCTTTTTAAGTTGCAATAACCAAAATTCTATATTTAATGTTCACAGAATGGCACTCTTCCGGTTCAAGAAAGGGGAACAAAATCCTAGCTCGGTTCAGAGCACTTCACTTACAAACCAAAGATCCTTTTGATAATCAACAAAATAATCTATTTTGTGGCTAAGCTTGGCTTTGGCTCGCGGCTACGGGAATCATTCATCTTTTAATCAGTTTTGTCTTGGGTCTCTCAATGTCCTGTTCGTTTCTGGTTTCTTCATTCTATATTTCTCATTTTTTCACCCCCCGCTTCTCCATTGTTCTCTTTTTTCCTATTGTGTAATTGCCCCTTTCTTTTTCCCTGCACCGGTAAAAGGGGTGTGTTCGGGGAATCCTGTGAAGTCGGCTGTGATTTCCTGAGTGCCCCTGCCCCTCTGACTCCCATTGACCCCCACACCTCTGGATGATTCACACAATCTAGTATTCTCTCCTTCTCCTCGTACCCTTTCTCTCGGTCTTCCTCTCTCTCCCTCTCCCTCCCTCTCTCTCTCTCTATCTCCTCGCTCATCTCGCTCTCTCTCCTCGTCTCTCTCTCTCTCTTCTCTCTTCTCTCTCTCTCTCTCTCTCTCTCTCTCTCTCTCTCTCTCTCTCTCTCTCTCTCTCTCTCTCGCGTATTCTGGGGGAGTGTGTCCTGGGCTGTGAAGCACTTCTTTATCTCCATCCATCCTCCCCTTGCTGGCATGAATGCTCTCTTCTCCTCACTCCAATCCCTCCAATTCCCCTCAGGGCATGAATGCTCTCTTTCATTCACTCCATCCATCCTCCTGCAGGCATGAATGCTCTCTTCTCCTCACTCCATCCATCCTCCCCTGCATGGCATGAATGCTCTCTTCTCCTCACTCCATCCATCCTCCCCTGCAGGCATGAATGCTCTCTTCTCCTCACTCCATCCATCCTCCCCTGCAGGCATGAATGCTCTCTTCTTCTCACTCCATCCATCCTCCCCTGCAGGCATGAATGCTCTCTTCTCCTCACTCCATCCTTCCTCCCCTGCAGGCATGAATGCTCTCTTCTCCTCACTCCATCCATCCATCCTCCCCTGCAGGCATGAATGCTCTCTTCTCATCACTCCATCCATCCTCCCCTGCAGGCATGAATGCTCTCTTCTCCTCACTCCATCCTCCCCTTGCTGGCATGAATGCTCTCTTCTCCTCACCCCATCCATCCTCCCCTGCAGGCATGAATGCTCTCTTCTCCTCACCCCATCCATCCTCCCCTGCAGGCATGAATGCTCTCTTCTCCTCACTCCATCCATCCATCCTCCCCTGTAGGCATGAATGCTCTCTCCTCCTCACTCCATCCATCCTCCCCTTGCTGGCATGAATGCTCTCTCCTCCTCACTCCATCCATCCTCCCCTGCAGGCATGAATGCTCTCTTCTCCTCACTCCATCCAAGCTCCCCTGCAGGCATGAATGCTCTCTTCTCCTCACTCCATCCATACTCCCCTGCAGGCATGAATGCTCTCTTCTCCTCACTCCATCCATACTCCCCTGCAGGCATGAATGCTCTCTTCTCCTCACTCCATCCATCCATCCTCCCCTGCAGGCATGAATGCTCCCTCCCGAGTGGCGCAGTGGTCTAAGGCACTGCATCGCAGTGCTAGCTGTGCCACTAGAGATCCTGGTTCGAATCCAGGCTCTGTCATAGCCGGCCGCGACCGGGAGACCCATGGGGCGGCGCACAATTGGCCCAGCGTCGTCCAGGTTAGGGGAGGGAATGGCCGGCAGGGATGTAGCTCAGTTGGTAGAGCATGGCGTTTGCAACGCCAGGGTTGAGGGTTCGATTCCCACGGGGGGCCAGTATGAAAAAAATTATGTATGCATTCACTAACTGTAAGTCGCTCTGGATAAGAGCGTCTGCTAAATGACTAAAATCTAAATCTAAAATCTCTCTTCTCCTCACTCCATCCATCCATCCTCCCCTGCAGGCATGAATGCTCTCTTCTCCTCACTCCATCCATCCATCCATCCTCCCCTGCAGGCATGAATGCTCTCTTCTCCTCACCCCATCCATCCATCCTCCCCTGCAGGCATGAATGCTCTCTTCTCCTCACCCCATCCATCCATCCTCCCCTGTAGGCATGAATGCTCTCTTCTCCTCACCCCATCCATCCATCCTCCTATTATTTATTTCTGAAATTAGTCGGCCTGATTCTATAAGCTATCATTCTAAAAATGTGATTTATTTGCTTCATATTATTTATTTGTATCACCTTTTGTCTTTTGCATAGTTTTCTCCTGACCATGTACCTGATTAGGAAACCGTATTGACACTAGTGATATGTGAAGAGCTGTGTCTTAAAAAGTGATAGTCAAATGAGATGTTTTCTAATTACTATTATTATCAGTCCTGCGGAGACCGCACCATGAATCTCCATGACTACGGGATGCTGTTGCCATGCGGCATCGACCGTTTCCGAGGGGTGGAATTTGTGTGTTGCCCAGCGGAGACACAGCGCGAGTCAGACAGCGTGGAGATGACTGAGTCTGACGTGTGGTGGGGCGGAGCCGAGACTGAATACACCGATAACAGGTACACACACATGCAAACACGCACGCACACACACACACACACATGCATGCACAAACAAACACAAAATGCATACACACAAATATGCACACATAAAGGCGCAGGTGCATACAGACAGACACAAACACACAGACATTTAAGCACGCACCGATCATCTTAAATACTTACTCAAGTTCATAAACCAGTGGTTAAAGCCTTTTGACAGAACCTGCACAACCAGACTACACACACTCAGACTCACATTACACCCTCTCTCCCTACAGCATGCCTCGCCAGGCGGATCAGGGGGCTGTCACCACTGAGTATGATGAGGATGAGGAAGAGGATACCTTTGACAGAGACGAGGACGGAGACGGTCTTGAGGATGAAGATGATGATGATGATGAGGATGATGTGACCGACGAACGGGACAGTGGTGAAGGCGCCTCCAACATCGCCATGACAACCACCACCACGACCACTACTGAATCGGTTGAGGAAGTTGTCAGAGGTAAGAACAGGCCATGGATGGAAAGAGATTAATACTGTTTTGTTTGTTTGTTTTCCCCAAGGATTTCTGGGGGTTTCAAAAGATGGATAAGATGCAGTTTCAAAAGATGGATAAGATGTGTGTATGTTTGAACATGTTGTGTAAACACACCCAAGCAGTGTGTGTGATTGCGCTGTGTGAGTGTGTGTTTTAAGAGTGTGTGTCTCTCTCAGAGGTGTGTTGGGCGCGTGCTGAGTCGGGCCCGTGCCATGCCATTCTGGAGCGGTGGTACTTCATGCCAGAGAAGGGCACCTGTGCCCCCTTCCTCTTTGGAGGGTGCGGGGGCAACCGGAATAACTTTGACTCAGAAGAGTACTGCCTGTCTGTCTGCAGCACCAGTGTGTGTAAGTCCCTGGACTGGACCCCTGAAATGGACCTCTAGGCCCCTTGCCTTGGGGACTATCCCCTATGCTGTCTGCCTCTCTGACCTCTCTGTCTGTCTAACACAGTTTACCTGTCTGTCTGATAGCTCTTAGACACTTGTTGCTCTGAAAGGGGAAGATTTTTCAGTTCTATACTGAACAAAAATATAAATGCAACATGCAACAATTTCAAAGGTTTTACTGAGTTACAGTTCATATAAGGAAATCAGTCAATTGAAATAAATTAATTAGGCCCTAATCTATGGATTTCACATGACTGGGAATAAAGATATACATTTTATTGGTCACAGATACCTTTTTTTATGTAGAGGTGTGAATCAGAAAACCAGTCAGTATCTGGTGTGACCACCATTTGCCTCATGCAGCACGGCACATCTCCTTCGCATAGAGTTGATCAGAATGTTGTCCCACTCGGAATGTTGTCCCACTCCTATTCAATGGCTGTGTGAAGTTGCTGGATATTGGCAGGAACTGGAACACTCTGTCGTACACGTCGATCCAGAGCATCCCAAACATGCTCAATGGGTGACATGTCTGGTGATTATGCAGGCCATGGAAGAACTGGGACATTTTCAGCTTCCAGGAATTGTGTATAGATCCTTGCGACATGGGGCTGTGCATTATTGTGCTGAAACATGGTGATGGCAGCGGATGAATGGTACGACAATGGGCCTCATGATCTCGTCACAGTATTGCCATCGATAAAATGTAGTTGTGTTCATTGTCCGTAGCTTATGCTTGCCCATACCATAACCCCACCGCCGCCATGGGGCACTCTGTTCACAACGTTGACATCAGCAAACCGCTCGCCCACACAACGCCGTACACGTGGTCTGCGGTTGTGAGGCCGGTTGGATGTACTGTAAAATTCTCTAAAACAATGCTGGAGTTGGCTTATGGTAGAGAAAGGACATTCAATTCTCTGGCAACAGCTCTGGTGGACATTCCTGCAGTCAGCACGCAAATTGCACGCTCCCTCAAAACTGAAGACATCTGTGGCGTCGTGTTGTGTGGCAAAACTGCACATTTTAGTGGCCTTTTATGGTCCCCAGCACAGGGTGCACCTGTGTAATGATCATCCTGTTTAATCAGCTTCTTGATATGCCACACCTGTCAGGTGGATGGATTGTCTTGGCAAAGGAGAAATGCTCACTAAAAGTTTGTGCACAGAATGTGAGAGAAATACGTTTTTTGTGCATATGGAAATGTTCTGGGAACTTTTATTTCAGCTCATGAAACATGGGACCAACACTTTACATGTTGCGTTGATATTTTAGTTCAGTGTAGATTTTGCATCACTTTACGTTTTCATTGAATTTCATTAAAGAGATATTCTGTCACTTTTAGAGGGAAATGGAAGGTCAATGAAAAGCACTGCTTTTAAGACTTTTATTGATCTTTCATTTCCCTCCAATAGTAGTTATTACTGATTAACCGTTACTCTGGATAGCTAAGACTGTTTTACCGCAACAAACCTTGAGGGTCTGGATCCATCTCAGCTATTGAGGAAGTGCAGTGTTCCTACAATATACAGTCGTGGTCAAAAGTTTTGAGAATGACACAAGTATTGCTCTTCACAAAGTTTGCTGCTTCAGTGTTTTTAGATATTTTTGTCAGATGTTACTATGGTATACTGAAGTATAATTACAAGCATTCCATAAGTGTCAAAGGCTTTTATTGACAATTACATTAAGTTTATGCAAAGAGTCAATATTTGCAGTGTTGACACTTTTCAAGACCTCTGCAATCCGCCCTGGCATGCTGTCAATTAACTTCTGGGCCACATCCTGACTGATGGCAGCCCATTCTTGCATAATCAATGCTTGGAGTTTGTCAGAATTTGTGGGTTTTTGTTTGTCCACCCGCCTCTTGAGGATTGACCACAAGTTCTCAATGGGATTAAGGTCTGGGGAGTTTCCTGGCCATGGACCCAAAATGTTGATGTTTTGTTCCCCGAGCCACTTAGTTATCACTTTTGCCTTATGGCAAGGTGCTGGAAAAGACATTGTTCGTCACCAAACTGTTCTTGGATGGTTGGGAGAAGATGCTCTCAGAGGATGTGTTGGTATGTAATGTAATGTACCATTCTTTATTCATGGCTGTGTTCTTAGGCAAAATTGTGAGTGAGCCCACTCCCTTGGCTGAGAAGCAACCCCACACATTAATGGTCTCAGGATGCTTTACTGTTTGCATGACACAAGACTGATGGTAGTCCTCACCTTGTCTTCTCCGGACAAGCTTTTTTCCGGATGCCCCAAACAATCGGAAAGGGATTCATAAGTTCTAGTTCCAAGATGGCATAGCAGTGGAACTAGCTAGCTGCAACCGAATGGCTGTTGTCGTTGTTGGCTAATCACCACTGTCCTGAAGCTAACCCCAGTTAGCCTTGAGCTAGCCTCGAGCCAGGACCATCTCCCGGCTATCTACCTCTCTGTCAACCGGACGGGACCTCCTGGTGTTGACACGGAGTCCCGCCGATCCATCACGACTGGTCTGCCGACGTAATCATCTGATGTGGTTTCAACAGGCTTCCCGTTGCGATGACCACTAAGATCCATCTGCTAGCCCCGGGCCCGCTAGCACACGCAATCAACAGACGTGCCTCCAGCTCGCCTGTAGCGTAGCAGCCACTGAACTGCTCCCGGACTTACTTATTGCTGTTCACTGGACATAATGATCACTCAGCTACACAGCTGATGCCTGCTGGACTGTTCCTTTATACAGTACCCCATCCTGTTTAGCCTCAGCTCAAACTTTCTTCGCCATTACCAGCTGTTGTCTTAGCTCTCTCGAATAACACTTGTGACTGCTTTATGCCTCTCTCCCATGTCAATATGCCTTGCCTATTGCTGTTTCGGTTAGTTCTAACTGTACTTTTTCAATGTAGAGCCCCCAGTCCTGCTCAACCTGTCTCAGATAGCTCCTTTGTCCCACCCCCCACACACGCGGAGACCGGCTCAATCGGTGCCTCCAGTGATGCTATCTCTTTCATCTTTACCCAACGCTTAGGTTTACCTCCACTGTACTCATATCCTTCCATATCCTTGTCTGTACATAATGCCCTGAATCTATTCTACAACGCCCAGAAATCTGCCCCTTTTTTAACTCTGTACCCAACGCACTAGAAGACCAGTTCTTAAAGCCTTTAGCCGTATCCTTATTCTACTCCTCCTCTGTTCCTCTGGTGATATAGAGGTTAACCCAGGCCCTGTAGCCCCCAGTATCACTCCTGCTCCCCAGGCGCTATCATTTTTTGACTTCTGTAACCGCAAAAGCCTTGGTTTCTTGCATGTTAACATCAGAAGCCTCCTCCCTAAGTTTGAGTTATTCACTGCGTTAGCACACTCCGCCAACCCTGATGTTCTAGCAGTGTCTGAATCCTGGCTTAGGAAGGCCACCAAAGATTCAGAAATGTCCATTCCCAACTACAACATTTTCCGTCTAGATAGAACTGCCAAAGGGGGCGGAGAGTTGCAATCTACTGTAGAGACAGCCTGCAGAGCTCTATCATACTATCCAGGTCTGTGCCCAAACAGTTTGAGCTTCTACTTCTAAAAATCCACCTTTCCAGAAATAAGTCTCTCTCTGTTGCCGCTTGCTACAGACCCCCCTCAGCCCCCAGCTGTGCCCTGAACACCATATGTGAATTGATTGCCCTCCATCTATCCTCAGAGTTCGTATTGCTTGGTGACCTAAACTGGGATATGCTTAACACCCCGGCTGTCCTACAATCTAAACTAGATGCCCTCAATCTCACACAAATTATCAAGGAACCTACCAGGTACAACCCTAAATCCGTTAACATGGGCACCCTCATAGATATCATCCTGACTAATTTACCCTCTAAATACACCTCCGCTGTCTTCAACCAGGATCTCAGCGATCACTGCCTGTGTCCGCAATGGGTCCGCGGTCAAACGACCACCCCTCATCACTGTCAAACGCTCCCTAAAACACTTCAGAGAGCAGGCATTTCTAATTGACCTGGCCCGGGTATCCTGGATGGATATTGACCTCATTCCGTCAGTAGAGGATGCCTGGTTGTTCTTTAAAAGTGCTTTCCTCTCCATCTGAAATAAGCATGCCCCATTCAAACAATTCAGAACTAAGAACAGATATAGCCCCTGGTTCACCCCAGACTTGACTGCCCTTGACCAGCACAAAAAAACATCCTGTGGCGTACTGCATTATCATCGAACAGCCCCCGCGATATGCAACTTTTCAGGGAAGTCAGGAACCAATGTACACAATCAGTTAGGAAAGCAAAGGCTAACTTTTTCAAGCAAAAATGTGCATCCTGTAGCACTAACTCCAAAATGTTTTGGGACACTGTAAAGTCCATGGAGAATAAGAGCACCTCCTCCCAGCTGCCCACTGCACTGAGGCTAGGAAACACTGTCACTACCGATAAATCTACGATAATCGAACATTTCTAGTTACAGACCTATATCCATTCTGCCCTACCTTTCGAAAGTGGTCAGTGGTTCAGTGGTCCTCTGTAGCTCAGCTGGTAGAGCACGGCGCTTGTAACGCCAAGGTAGTGGGTTCGATCCCCGGGACCACCCATACACAAAAATGTATGCACGCACGACTGTAAGTCGCTTTGGATAAAAGCGTCTGCTAAATGGCATATTATTATTATTATAAGTATTTGAAAGCCAAGTTAACAAACAGATGACCGACCATTTCGAATCCCACCGTACCTTCTCCGCTATGCAATCTGGTTTCCGAGCTGGTCATGGGTGTACGTCAGCCACACTCAAGGTCCTAAACGATATAATAACTGCGACCGATAAAAGACAGTACTGTGCAGCCGTCTTCATTGACCTGGCCAAGGCTTTTGACTCTGTCAATCACCACATTCTTATTGGCAGACTAAATAGCCTTGGTTTCTCAAATGACTGCCTCGCCTGGTTCACCAACTACTTCTCTGATAGAGTTCAATGTGTCAAATCGGAGGGCATGTTGTCTGGACCTCTGGCAGTCTCTATGGGGGTGCCACAGGGTTCAATTCTCGGGCCGACTCTATTCTCTGTGTATATCAATGATGTCGCTCTTGCTTCTGGTGACTCTCAGATCCACCTCTATGCAGACGACACCATTTTGTATACATCTGGCCCTTCATTGGACACTGTGTTAACAAACCTCCAAACGAGCTTCAATGCCATACAACACTCCTTCCGTGGCCTCCAACTGCTCTTAAACGCTAGTAAAACTAAATGCATGCTCTTCAATCGAACGCTGCTTGCACCCGCCTGCCCGACTAGAATCACTACTCTCGGCGGGTCTGACTTAGAATATGTGGACAACTACAAATACCTAGGTGTCTGGTTAGACTGTAAACTTCCTTCCAGACTCACATTAAGCATCTCCAATCCAAAGTTAAATCTAGAATCGGCTTCCTATTTCGCAACAAAGCCTCATCCACTCATGCTGCTTCCAACACTCTACTCAGCAAATTTAATGTGGTCTATCACAGTGCCATCCGTTTTGTCACCAAAGCCCCGTATACTACCCACCATTGTAACCTGTACGCTCTCGTTGGCTAGCCCTCACTAACTATTTGTCGCAAAACCCACTGGCTCCAGGTCATCTATAAATCACTTCTACGCAAATCCCCGCCTTATCTTAGCTCATTGGTCACCATAGCAACACCCACCCGTAGTATGCGTTCCAGCAGCTATATCTCACTGGTCATCCCCAAAGCCAACACCTCCTTTGGTCCCCATTCCTTCCAGTTCTCTGCTGCAAATGACTGGAACTAATTGCAAAAATCTCTGAAGCTGGAGACACTTATCTCCCTCACTATCTTTAAGCATCAGTTGTCAGAGCAGCTTACCGATCACTGCACCTGTACACAGCCCATTTGTAATTAGCCCACCCAACTACCTCATCCCCATATTGTTATTTACATTGTTATTTATTTAGCTCATTTGCACCCCAGTATCTCTATTTGCACATCATCTTCTGCACATCTATCACTCAAGTGTTAATACTAAATTATAATTGTGCACTATGGCCTATTTATTTCCTTACCTCCATAACTTACTACATTTGCACACACTGTATATAGATTTTCTATTGTGTTATTGACTGTACGTTTTGTTTATTCCATATGTAACTCTGTGTTGTTGTTTTTACCGCACTGCTTTGATTTATCTTGGCCAGGTCGCAGTTGTAAATGAGAACTTGTTCTCAACTTGCTTACCTGGTTAAATAAAGGTTAAATAAAATAAAAAATAAAAATCAGAGAAAATGACTTTACCCCAGTCCTCAGCAGTCCAATCCCTGTACCTTTTGCAGAATATCAGTCTGTCCCTGATGTTTTTCCTGGAGAGAAGTGGCTTCCTCGCTGCCCTTCTTGACACCAGGCCATCCTCCAAAAGTCTTTGCCTCACTGTGCGTGCAGATGCACTCACACCTGCCTGCTGCCATTCCTGAGTAAGCTCTGCACTGGTGGTGCCCTGATCCCGCAGCTGAATCAACGTTAGTAGACGGTCCTGGCGCTTGCTGGACTTTCTTGGGCGCCCTGAAGCCTTCTTCACAACAATTGAACCTCTCTCCTTGAAGTTCTTGATGATCCGATAAATGGTTGATTTAGGTGCAATCTTACTAGCAGCAATATCCTTGCCTGTGAAGCCCTTTTTGTGCAAAGCAATGATGACGGCACGTGTTTCCTTGCAGGTAACCATGGTTAACAGAGGAAGAACAATGATTTCAAGCACCACCCTTTTAAAGCTTCCAGTCTGTTATTCTAACTCAATCAGCATGACAGAGTGATCTCCAGCCTTGTCCTCGTCAACAATCTCACCTGTGTTAATGAGAGAATCACTGACATGATCGCAGCTGGTCCTTTTGTGGCAGGGCTGAAATGCAGTGGAAATGTTTTTTGGGGATTAAGTTCATTTTCATGGCAAAGAGGGACTTTGCAATTAATCTGATCACTCTTCATGACATTCTGGAATATATGCAAATTGCCATCATAAAAACTGAGGCAGCAGACTTTGTGAAAATTAATATTTGTGTCATTCTCAAAACTTTTGACCACGACTGTAGGTCTGCTCTAGTGGGTGTACAGACGTCTTGGTACAGACAGAGGTTGACCTTTCAATTAGGTAATTCTGGTTTAAAAAATATGTATATTGACTTTTTCACGAAACGGAAGAGATATTAGGAAATATCTGCGCCGATATTAGCAGAGAATGTCACTGGTGGAAAATAGCCACTTCACTCACTCACTTACTCACCCTTTCACTCTTCTGCTTTTGCAAAGATTATTTTACTCACTCCATCACTCAATAACCAGCTCAATAACACTGTGTGTGTGTGTGTGTGTGTGTGTGTGTGTGAGACAATGTTTGTCAGGTGATTTAATGGTGGCCTGACCTGGCAGTGTCGGTTAGTGTTGATGTTCTAACCGGCTTAACCTAACAACAGCAGTGTCTCTTTATATCACTGTGTCAGTGTGTGTGTTCATGCGTGTGTCAGTGGGTTGAGTCTCTGTCTGTTTCCCAGCCCCAGCCTGGCTGTTCCACTCTTTTCCGGTACTTTCCGCCCAGTTAAGCACAACGCTCCTCAGCGGGAGAGGATGACGCAGCGCCTACCCTGATCCTGACTGGGCAGAATTCACTTATCTGATCTCCAGTCTCCCGTATCTCGCACACGCATGCGCGTACACACACACTAAAATAATGTCAAGGCAGACCGATATATCACCTGTCTCTCGCTGGCTGACAGTCTTAGCTGCTCTAACCAGTCTGTCGCCTCTTTTAACCTACATGTTTTGACCTGTCTCTCTACCTGTCTGCCAGGTATGTCTGTCTGTCTGTCTGTGTGGTTGATCTGTCTCTCTACCTGTCTGCCAGGTCTACCTGTCTGTGTGGTTGACCTGTCTCTCTACCTGTCTGCCAGGTCTGTCTGTCTGTCTGTCTGTGTGGTTGACCTGTCTCTCCACCTGTCTGCCAGGTGTACCTGTCTGTGTGGTTGACCTGTCTCTCCACCTGTCTGCCAGGTCTACCTGTCTGTGTGGTTGACCTGTCTCTCCACCTGCCTGCCAGGTCTACCTATCTGTCTGTGTGTTCAGACCCTGAAAGTCTCAGTACAGTTTCAGATTACAGTGACAGATAAGGTAGAAATGTGGGAGGAGGGTATGTCACTGTTTAACTTTTGAGTGATGTCTTCACTATTATTCTACAATGTAGAAAATAGTAAAAATAAAGAAAAACCCTGGAATGAGTAGGTGTGTCCAAACTTTTGACTGGTAGTATACCTTCTGTCTGGACCCTTTTGTGTAAATCTCCTTTCTCCTCTATCTCTTTTCCTCCCTCCTCCCCCAGTGCCCACCACGGCCCCCTCCCCCCCTGACGCGGTGGACCGTTACCTGGAGTCTCCCGGAGACGACAGCGAACACTCCAACTTCCAGAAGGCCAAGGAGAGTCTGGAGGCCAAGCACCGCGAGAGGATGTCCCAGGTCTGTGTGTATGAGAGTGAGAGAGAAAGACAGCGTGTGTGTTTGTGAAAGAGGGAGAATGTATGGGAGAGAGAGGGGTCCCTTCTCTGATGTGAACAAAGGACATTAAGGGAGTTCACTACACTACACACAATCCTCTGATGTCTGACTGACTGTGTCTATCTAGGTGATGAGAGAGTGGGAGGAAGCAGAGAGACAGGCCAAGAGTCTCCCTCGCGCTGACAAGAAGGCAGTCATCCAGGTACAGTACCTGAGCTGTGTGTGTGTGTGTGTGTGTGTGCATTCTAGTGTGTGTAAATGTTTCTGTGTGCAGCACTTCCAGGAGAAGGTGGAGGCCCTGGAGCAGGAGGCAGCAGGAGAGAGGCAGCAGCTGGTGGAGACCCACATGGCCCGAGTGGAGGCCCTGCTCAACAGCCGCCGTCACATGGCCCTGGAGAACTACCTCAGCTCCCTGCAGGCCAACCCACCCAGGGTACGTATATACAGTGCATTCGGAAAGTATTCAGACCACTTGACTTTTTCCACATTTTGTTACTTTATAGCCTTATACTTATAGAAGTTGTTTAACGAGTTATCATCTCCCGAATTAAACTCTTAGAAGATATATGTTATATATCGATAAGTCACTTGTTAAATAATTATCTCTTATCAGTCTCATTCTGAACGTTGCATAATCCTTGAACCTGCAAGAACCCTAACCTTATTGATGAATCAGCAATACACAAATTGGCTTAATTTTACTTACTAACTAACTAACTAACTAAATAATAACACACACACACACACAGGTTATTGATTACTAACGTAATACAATGAAAACAGGTCCCTAGTGGACTGGACTAACAATAGCATGAATGCTTGGGTAGAAGGAGGGTTGGCTGATTCAGAGAGAGGGGGTGGGGTGGGTGGGGGGGGGGGGGGGGGGAAGAGATAAAGGAATTCACCTATCGGACATTTATAAACTACGCTCACGGAAATACAAATGCTTTGGACCCACTCATTCTAGAAATGCAACATGTATTTATGTGTAGCTGTCCTCGATAGTTGAGTTGATGATGTAGGACTCTGGTTTGCCCACCAGAGATCCCAATGTCCTGGGTAGAGTTTCTGTTCGTAGAGTTGGTTAGAATGGATACTTCAGCGTACCCTGTAGTTCGTAGCGTTGATCTGTTAAAATAAATACTTCAGATGTACCAACAGTTGTCTGAGAGGGATTGTCCTTCCCAACTCGTGTCTTTAGTGAATGTTCTCTAGACGACTATACATGCCAGCTGCAGACTGAGATGATAAGGTCCAGTGCGTTGTCTTTTTCTTCACCTCGTGTAGAGGTTGAGAGTTTCACCATTTTGCAATATTCAGCTCGCGCTGCATGTCAGCTGGTCTGTAGAGTTTACACCATTTTGTAACGTTTAGCTCACGCTTCACGTCTGCTTGTCTGTAGAGTGTCAACCATTTTAAGCCGTGGGGCTTTCTGGTCTAACCATTTTAAACCGTGTAGCTTCACCTTCAGGCTACCTGGTCTGGTAGAAATTCAACCATTTGCAACATCCTGCTTATACCGTAGTATGCTTGGTCTGAGGTGAATTTCGTCAGGAGGGGTTTTATACTTGAATAGAAAAGGGGGCGTTTCATCATGTTTGGGCTCATCTGGGCGTGGCCACTGACTGAGAACAAGTCAATATGGAAAACAATCATCTCATCTAGAATGCTAAAATCACATTGTTATCTTCACAAAAATCATTCATTTTATACAACAATTAGAAGCAAACCTCATAACTGGGAAGTGTACACCCCCAGAGATACAGTTATGTTGTTCCACCGTCTTTAATGACATCACAACATAGTAACGAATTCTTTAAGTCCCCACCGACCATTTCTACCACAAAGAATGTGGGAAATATTGTTTCATTATCTACTTTTGGATGTTGGCGTTTTGGCGGGAAGAATCTCTGTTAACAAAGGGGTCCTTTCTCCCAAAACTTCATGGCAAGGAAGAGAAAGTCTGCACAGTATTTATGACCGGTCATTAAACTGGCCCCCAGGAGAGGGGGTGTTCAAACCTTTGCCTAGCCGGCATCTTTGATCCTCAGCCCATGAGGGCAAGTCATGAAACAATACTCCATAATGACAAAGCAAAAACAGGTTTTTAGAAAATTTTGCAAGCCTGTCCTCCCCAATTAAGGTGTCCCTCATCCCCTTCTCTCTCTGTCCCTCAGCCTCGTCAGGTGCTTGGCCTGTTGAAGAAGTATGTCCGTGCAGAACAGAAGGACAGACAACACACCCTGAAACACTACGAACACGTCCGCATGGTGGACCCCAAAAAGGCTGCTCAGATCCGACCCCAGGTACCCCAACAACCCCCAACCGCTATAATACACTACATTACCCACAAACCTCTAAGCTCAACCTTCAACCACCCTACACTACCCACAAGCCCCTACAGCCACTCTGTGTCCTGTGTAACTCCTTTGACCTCTGCACTTTGCCCTTCTCCTCTAGGTGATGACCCACCTGCGTGTGATTGACGAGAGGATGAACCAATCCCTGGGGCTGCTCTACAATGTGCCCAGCGTGGCCAATGAAATCCAAGACCAAGTTTGTGAGTGTCACCCTACTCCTACCCATATACTGCAGTGTCATGATATTATTCAGTCTATACACTCAGTGTAGTACTGTGTTGTGTTATTACAGAGATATTGTACAGATTATGCTTTTTCCTTTCTGCCTATTGTTCATTCTCTAATTTTCACTCTATTTTCCCCTTCTCTCTCTCTCTCTCTCTCTCTCTCTCTCTCTCTCTCTCTCTCTCTCTCTCTCTCTCTCTCTCTCTCTCTCTCTCTCTCTCTCTCTCTCTCTCTATGTGTAGCTGTCCTTATGCAGAGGGTTCAGTCAGAGCTGTCTCAGCAAGTCTCATCTCTGCAGAGCGATGGGAGGGTGAGTTTCACACATACACAGGCACGCACACTCTTGCTCATAAAAATAGTACAATCTCTCCTATCTCACAAACACGTACACCCAGATAGAAATTCAGTCATGTGTATCCTGTGTTTGTAGACTGATGGCAGGGTGAGCTATGGAAACGATGCCCTGATGCCCGACCAGGCTTACAGCTCTGCCCCTCTGGACCCTGGCATGGGCCTGGATCGACTGGGCTTTATCCACCCAGAGAGCTTCAACCAGCCTAACACCGACAACCACGGTAACAAACACATGCACGCACAGTCACACAACCAGCCTAACACACAGCCTAGCGAACCACAGCAATACACACAAGACAACTGTTTCATGCATTATCCATTAAATTGGTCATTCTCTAAAGCTTTTAGTCAGTGACTGTTTCCTCTGTTAAAACAGTTGAGCCTGTTGATGCTCGTCCCGTTCCAGATAAAGGTCTTCCCACTCGACCTGGTAAGTGTTTGCGTGCATGTAGTATGTGTATGATTGTGTTTATACTGTATGGGCATGTTTGGGTTATGGTTGTGTTTGTCTCTTTTTGATGATGTGTGTATTTGTATGATGTTCTCTCCCTCTCTCACTGTGTGTCTTCAGTCTCTGCTCTGAAGCCTGAGGAGTTCCCTGAGGTGCGGATGGAGAAGGAGGAGCGGCAAAGCGCCAGCTATGAAGTGCATCAAAAACTGGTACAGAAACATACAGTACAGTAACTACAGTGTAGACTGGTACATGTTCATACATGTGTATCACAAACTGGCTCAGTAGCCCAAGCTCACATGTTTATGATAGAAATGGGAACATTTGTATAACGGTTTATCTGTGCATTGGAGACTGGTAAATAATGTTCTCTTTACAATATATAACTGCAGAAACACTCAACACCTCCAGTTTGATTGACGGGTGTTGTTGTGTTGATTATTACCAGGTGTTCTTCGCTGAGGATGTGGGCTCCAACAAGGGCGCCATAATCGGCCTGATGGTGGGCGGGGTTGTCATAGCGACGGTCATTGTCATCTCTCTGATCATGCTGAGGAAGAAGCAGTATACTTCTATCCACCACGGAATCATCGAGGTGAGAGAGAGTGCTTTCTGTGTGTCTGCGCGTTGGTGTTCTGTACCTGTGTGTTAACCTGGTGTGTGTGTGTTCTAGGTGGATGCTGCAGTGACCCCAGAGGAGCGTCACCTGTCCAAGATGCAGCAGAATGGCTATGAGAACCCCACCTATAAGTTCTTCGAACAGATGCAGAACTAAGGAGCTACCCTTTGACCCCTCCCTGACCCTGAACTTCCTTTAACCCCTCACACCTAGGGCCCGTTCCATTTTGGTCCTCTTAACCCCCCTCACACCTAGGGCCCATTCCATTTTGGTCCTCTTAACCCCCTCCCACCTAGGGCCTGTTCCATTTTGGCCCATAAACCCTTCTAGCTCCTACTCTATTCCTGTCAATGGATCTGAAAGGACGGAGTAGGTGAAACCAGTATGACTGAAGCGGCATAAAAATATGTAATTAATTGGGTTAGAAAGAGTTGTAGTCATGTTACTTACAGCTACCCAGGGTGCCAAGGGGCAGAAATGCAACCAAGCCACACTCACCCTTCATCCTTTCCTCGTAAAGTACAGCACATCAACATTCATAGCTGCTATTGGTCAGACAAGGATATCCTTCTTCACCTGCATATATTTTTTAAATATCCTGTAGTGTGTGTACAGAACAGAGAAGCTCATTGATTGATTCATCTGTCCATCTATCTGTGGGTGAGCCCTCCCCCACAGGATAGCGATCACAGGTCTAAGAGGGTGAAACAGAGGCCCCAAATATCCCTGCAATCTTCCTCCCTCACTCTGATGCACTCTCCCCTCCCCCTACTCCCTCCATCTCTCCCACGCACTCCTCTCCCGCTCCCCCTCTCTCAGATGACAGCTGTGCTGTGTTTGGTGATGACATAACAGCTCTTAGCGCTAGCGAAGGGAGGAGGGGCTCAGTCTGCCCTGAGCTCTTCTCTGCAGGATTATACCACAAGCTTTCAGGTTCGTTTTTCAGATAAATATATAAACAAAGAAAAAATATATAAATAATACATCAGAAATATGTAAAAGGCAAAGAAATATTGAATGTTTTTATTTGGTGCGTAATGTATTGAAATAAGGCAGAAAAAAACTAGCTGTAACTATATGTAGTGCATGGTGATCTTGATGCCAGATATATGTAGAGAGAACCTGGCTCCTGTTGTGGGACTGGGCCTCTCATATAGACTTTTAGCAGGATTGTACATTTTCTGTGTCTTCTTTGTGATCTTGTGATATGAAGAAGAGAAAAAAAAAGTATTTAGAATCTGGTCCGCTTTGTTGTCACTGTCACTGCGACATGCTTTAAACAGAACCTGTGCTGTCCTTTGTGTCCACTCCATTCCTCGCCCTGTGTTACCGACATGGGCCGAATTCTCTCTATCTACATGTAGCTAATATAATGATGTGTAATAGTATCTGAAAGGAAGTCTATTTGTGTTACTGTTTGCGTTCTATGCACTCTGAGTTTCATTTAGTCTGATTATTACTGGTATTACTGCTCCGTTTATTGGTATTATGTCCCTTAACTGATATTCCACAACTAGAAATTGTGTTTCAGCTCCATTCCTCATTTTATCATTCCAGAAATCTCAGCATTCCACCATATCTTTCCTCATTCCTATATAGTCTGTGAACATCTATGAATATCATTAATGGAAACAGAAATCATTACTTTTTTTGTTTCTCAGGCTTTCAGGCTCTCTATCTTTCCTTCCCTCTGTCTATCCCATAGACCTCAACTCCCCAAACAGCCCTGCTCCTCCCCTCTATCACTCGCTCTCGCTGGCCATGCTGTGTCGGCTTGGTGTGTGTGGCGCTTTGGAGTTGATGTGTAAGATAATTAGATTGAGTTGAGAGAGAGTGGGGATTGGGAGTGTGATAGATTCCCTATCGCCTTTCTGATCATCAATCGCACACACACAATCTTTCCTTGGTTGTTTGATACATGTTCAGTGTATCTGTGTGTTCTGTGGTGGATATCCCCCTCTTGCTTGTCTCGTCAAATCTCTCGTCTCAGACCTCCTGGCTTTAAAAGCAGAGGCTAAAGAAATACTGATCTCAGACCAGTTTATTGATAGTTAGATTGATCTTGGGCGAATGTGTGTGAGGCCAAATACAGGGACCCTGTTCAGGAAGGCGCAACTTCACAGAATTTTCAGATATGTATTATGTGGAACAGATGTCATTGTCTGTCAGGTAGTTTTTTGTTACATTTCCATCTGCAACATTCAGAATGTTTCACCTAACTGAACACACCCAGATCTGGGATCAGTATAGAGACAGTAGTAGACGAGACATTCCCCATACCCAAAATGGAGCCTCCAATAGACATGAATGTGACATTCATATTGTGCAATTATTCCACAGATCTACTACACACTACTACACTTCCTCCCTACACACAAACTGAAGCTCTTAAATCAGGTAAATGTTTTGATGTTGTCAAGGATACTTGTACAGGGGTTAGTGGTTTAATTAGTTAATTCTGTTACTTTTTCCTGTGTACCTATACAAACCATTTGCTTGGACTGAGAAAAAGCTTTCTACACTATCCCATCAATAAAATGTTGAATGTACATAATCTCTGTTGTTGAATCTGTGTGTGTTCATGTATTTATGACAGAGCTTGAATCCTGAGTGATGGTCATATAGGAGAAACTAAAACATTAGAACCTGCCAGAGTGGTGAGAGAGTGGGTGTGTGTATGTATGCATAACATTGGAGCAGTTCTGCCTATAGGTAGACTACGTGCTCCGCGTAGGGTCCCCACCCCACCCCACCCCACCAAAACTTTTTTTTTTAGGAACTACATCTGGGTCTCGGCTTACTGTTGAAAGAGCATAGTAGAATACACAATATGCAATTTCGTGGCTCAGCATTGGAGCTGTTGGATCAAGGACAGACTCAGTCCTTAGGAAAACATCTGCCACTTTATTTCCCCTGGTCGACACTAAAGGTCCAACTCATTTGGGAAAAAGCTCGAAATAAAATACAAAACGGATCCTTTTATTAATGGAAAATATGAAAATACACTGCCCTTGTGGCTATCAAAAACATGGAGTACCGGTATATACAATGGAAACTATACTAAGCTACAGATAAAGGGGAAACAAATGCAAAGATCATATTTGATTTTCCAGCATACGCGCACACACACTCCCCATCTGACACTCATACACTCACACTCATCCACACACACACATACTCTCCCTCCAAGCATCTCTTCCCTGGTTAAAATAAGAAAACCACCTCCCCAGCCTGTCTCAGCCCCATCTCCAATCAAACCCAAAGGAGAAGGACAAAGTTGCCCATAGACACGGATCTAAAGTCTGTTCATTTCCACCTCCTTAAATGGTGAAGCTTAGGGCTGGTCATAGTAATCTGATCCTAGATCTGTGTCTATGGGCAACTTCTACCTGGGGCAGTCAGGGAGCCCCAGGCCCCTCCCCCCTCAGCTGTCCTGTGCTGAGGTGGCCAGCGTCACTGTGGTGATGGGCTGGCCAATCCCGTGCAGCTGAATGCGGGCCAGCTTCTTCTGCTCACACTCCGTTACCAGGTTGTTGAGCTCGGCAGCACTGTAGCCAATCAGAGTCCTCAGGTCGCACACAAACTTGTAGACGAAGCGCTTGCCCTGCACCTTGCTGATCATGTCCCCATCGTAGTAATACCTGAGAAAATATACATATACAGATATGATGGCGCCGGAGGGGGTGGCTGCAGTTTTATGGACTCTTAATTCTCGGTAACCACTGTATATAGCCTCGCTATTGTTATTTTTACTGCTGGTCTTTAATTATTTGTTACTTTTATCTTGTAATATTTTATATTTTATTTTTGGTATTCTTTCTTAAAACTGCATTGTTGGTTAAGGGCTTGTAAGTAAGCATTTCACTGTAAGGTCTACACCTGTTTGTATTCGGCGCATGTGACAAATAAAATGTGATTTGAAATAATCAGATCAATTAAAATGAGACGACTAGAAAGTTCAAGGGAACAAAAAAAAAATTATGCACTCACTAACTGTAAGTCGCTCTGGATAAGTGCGTCTGCTAAATGACTAAAATGTAAATGTAAAAACGGAACAAGTCATAAGATAAGAGAGCTTGAACTTGTGCAACGAAAATTAAAAAAGAGGAAAAGGGAGAGAAACTGGCAGATTGGCATACCTGAGCGCTCGGCTGAGTTTCTCATAGTTCATGGTGGGCTTGTTCTTGCGTTGGCCCCATTTCTGGGCCACCAGTTCAGGCTGGTTGAGTTTGAACTCCCCCTCCTCTCCCACCCAGGAGATACAGTCTCTAGCATCCTTATCAGTCAACAGCTCCAACAGGAACTGCCACAGCTGGATCTGACCGTTGTTACCTACAGGGACAGGTGAGAGGACGTTTTTTTGACATCAGATACGAGCATATGCACATTCACTCACACTGTTAAGGCACCCATAAAAAAGCATTGGAAGACTAATGCTATTTAGGTACACATACATACACGACATCCAACACACACAAATGGCTACCTGTGCGGTTGCCAGGTGAGCTGCGCTCCTCTCCTCCTGAGATGCGGGGTGTTCTGGGGCCGCGGTTCTGCTTCAGAACCTTGATAGTGGTGGGTGTGGTCTGCACAGCAGCCGGGATGATCTGGACCTCTGAGGGCGGAGACAGAAGGTTCAAACAACCAGAAACATACAGGATGAAGTTACCCCCTGATCTATGGTCAGTTTGGTGTTCCTACCCATGTTGGCACAGGTAAGGATTCGGGTGAGAGTAAGCTGATCCTAGATCTGTGCCTATAGGCAACAACTCCAACATAGATGAAAACAATATAGTGTGGTAGATGCATGCAGGGTGACAGTGAGTGAGAGAGACAGGAAATAAACTTACGTTGGTCAATGGTGACTGTGGCCTCCTGGCCAGACTGGTCCTGACTGGCCAACACATCTGTAAAGAATGGGGACATATACAGTATGTGAGCTAAAACCAACTTCAATGAACATGCTTGCCCAGGCTCAGAACAACTCCCTTTCCCTAGCCTCTAATTTTCAGGCATACTGTATGTAAACAATATAATAAGAATACAAATGTGGGGGGTGCTTATATTTGTCCTGTTACACACAAGCGTGTAATGGAAATGTATTTTTTTTGTTGCATATCCCAACTCCCCGAGACACCCGCAGGGAGTGGGGTCACGGCAAGGGACGCCATTGTACAGCGAACCTGGAGAAATGAGGGTTAGGTGCCTTGGTCAAGGGCACAGCGACAGATTATTTATTATTTTATTTTCTCTCACTTTGTCGGCTCCGGTATTCGAAACAGCAACCTTTCGGTTACTGGCCCAACCCTCTAACCTCGAGGCTACAGTGAGGGAAAAAAAGTATTTGATCCCCTGCTGATTTTGTACGTTTGCCCACTGACAAAGAAATGATCAGTCTATCATTTTAATAGTAGGTTTATTTTAACAGTGAGAGACAGAATAACAACAACAAAATCCAGAAAAACGCATGTCAAAAATGTTATAAATTGATTTGCATTTTAATGAGGGAAGTAAGTATTTGACCCCCTCTCAATCAGAAAGATTTCTGGCTCCCAGATGTCTTTTATACAGGTAACGAGCTGAGATTAGGAGCACACTCTTAAAGGGAGTGCTCCTAATCTCAGCTTGTTACCTGTATAAAAAGACACCTGTCCACAGAAGCAATCAATCAGATTCCAAACTCTCCACCATGGCCAAGACCAAAGAGCTCTCCAAGGATGTCAGGGACAAGATTGTAGACCTACACAAGGCTGGAATGGGCTACAAGACCATCGCCAAGCAGCTTGGTGAGAAGGTGACAACAGTTGGTGAGATTATTCGCAAATGGAAGAAACACAAAAGACTGTCAATCTCCCTCGGCCTGGGGCTCCATGCAAGATCTCACCTGGAGTTGCAATGATCATGAGAACGGTGAGGAATCAGCCCAGAACTACACGGGAGGATCTTGTCAATGATCTCAAGGCAGCTGGGACCATAGTCACCAAGAAAACAATTGGTAACACAATACGCAGTGAAGGACTGAAATCCTGCAGCGCCCGCAAGGTCCCCCTGCTCAAGAAAGCACATATACATGCCCGTCTGAAATTTGCCAATTAACATTTGAATGATTCAGTGGAGAACTGGGTGAAAGTGTTCTGGTCAGATGAGACCAAAATGGAGCTCTTTGGCATCAACTCAACTCGCCGTGTTTGGAGGAGGAGGAATGCTGCCTATGACCCCAAGAACACCATCCCCACCGTCAAACATGGAGGTGGAAACATTATGCTTTGGGGGTGTTTTTCTGCTAAAGGGACAGGACAACTTCACCGCATCAAAGGGACGATGGACGGGGCCATGTACCGTCAAATCTTGGGTGAGAACCTCCTTCCCTCAGCCAGGGCATTGAAAATGGGTCGTGGATGGGTATTCCAGCATGACAATGCACCAAAACACACGGCCAAGGCAACAAAGGAGTGGCTCAAGAAGAAGCACATGAAGGTCCTGGAGTGGCCTAACCAGTCTCCAGACCTTAATCCCATAGAAAATCTGTGGAGGGAGCTGAAGGTTCGAGTTGCCAAACGTCAGGCTCGAAACCTTTAATGACTTGGAGAAGATCTGCAAAGAGGAGTGGGACAAAATCCCTCCTGAGATGTGTGCAAACCTGGTGGCCAACTACAAGAAACGTCTGACCTCTGTGATTGCCAACAAGGGTTTTGCCACCAAGTACTAAGTCATGTTTTGCAGAGGGGTCAAATACTTATTTCCCTCATTAAAATGCAAATCAATTTATAACATTTTTGACATGTGTTTTTCTGGATTTTTTTGTTGTCATTCTGTCTCTCACTGTTCAAATATATCGATCTCCCGAGTGGCGCAGTGGTCTAAGGCACTGCTAGCTGTGCCACTAGAGATCCTGGTTCGAATCCAGGCTCTGTCGTAGCCGGCCGCGACCGGGAGACCCATGGGGCGGCGCGCACAATTGGCCCAGCGTCGTCCAGGGTAGGGGAGGGAATGGCCGGCAGGGGATATAGCTCAGTTGGTAGAGCATGGCGTTTGCAACGCCAGGGTTGTGGGTTCGATAAAATAATGTATGCACTAACTGTAAGTCGCTCTGGATAAGAGCGTCTGCTAAATGACTAAAATGTAAATGTAAATGTAAATACACCTACCATTAAAATTATAGACTGATAATTTCTTTGTCAGTGGGCAAACATACAAAATCAGCAGGGAATGAAATACTTTTTTCCCTCACTGTACCTGCCACGAGGTTAGTATTATGACTCTACTTAGGCTTGAAATGTTGCTAGCCCTTAACCCTAACACACTGACTCAACATACAGAAGCTACAACACAAACTCACACTTGCGGAGCAGCTCCAGGTGGCTCCAGAGGATCTCTCCACTGGGGACCCTCTGCAGGAACTCTTCCTGGGTGAAGGAGCAGAGGTTGCGACCTGGGATGTGAATCCCTCCCACCTCCATCTCATCAATGCTGAACTCCTTCATAACCCACACGGCCCAGTGGATCACCTGGTCCGCCGTCCACTGTTCTGGGTCTGAGAGGAGAGCGACACATTACACACAGATTAAAAGACTGACAATGCTGACTATAGCTTTTTTGTCTGTTAAAAAATTAATGGCAATCGCAGCAAACGGGTCTCACTTTGTACAACGGTGTGTAACTGCCTGATTAATTGTGGTTTTGTGTTTCAGAGTGTGTGTGTGTTTTTCTGTGTGTGTCCTGCTTGTTTTTGTGTTTCAGTGCAAGTGTGTGTTTGTGTCCTCCTCACCGTAGGGTATCCCCAGACGGACCTGTTCCTTGCGGTAGCCCTCCAGGGCGGCGGCCCAGCGGGTCACCTGCTCCGACGTGTCGTCTGACAGGGAGGAGTGCTCCACAGCGATCAGCTGGCCCTCCTCCATCAGGGTGCCCTCCTCCCCCGCCGCATCCGGGTCGATCACCACCTCCACCGTCTCCACCGGCTTCACGATCTCCAGGATGTTCAGCTTCTCCTCGCCTGGATGAAGGGAGGGATGTGAGTGGAGGTTAGAGTGTGATTAGTATCAACAGCCTAATTGTTATGGTGCAACATTTGTGTGCATCTATAGATTGGTGCCTGGGTTTTGATAAAGTCTTGGTGCTCAGGCTGTCGTTTGTGTACCTGGCTTGGTGATGATTTGTAGGCTGAGTTGCACTGTGCCGTCTGTCTTCACTCCTTGATCAAAGAGGCTGTGGTCTGGATGCAGCTGGAGAGACAGAAAGAAAGAGAAAGGAGAGGGCGAGAGGGGAGGGGAGGGCAAGCGAGGGACAGGGGGGAGGGCAGGTGAGGGACAGGGGGAGGGCAGGCGAGGGACAGGGGGGGAGGGCAGGCGAGGGACAGGGGGGAAGGCAGGCGAGGGACAGGGGGGAAGGCAGGCGAGGGACGGGGAGGACAGGCGAGGGACAGGGGGGAAGGCAGGCGAGGGACAGGGGGGAAGGCAGGCGAGGGACAGGGGGGAAGGCAGGCGAGGGACGGGGAGGACAGGCGAGGGACAGATGGCAGGACAGGAGAGGGAAACATGGGAGAGAGGGGAGGACAGGTAAATAAGAAGAGAGAGAGGATGGAGATGGAGCAAATGGGAGAGACAGAAAGGGAGAGAAAAAGAGAAGATTACTCTAAACATTTCTACATTAAATGATCAACTCTAAACACATGAGACTCCATCAGCATCAGGTCTGATCAGGTGGGGCAGGTATTTCAACCCCATAAATACAGGCTTCCATCAGCATCAGGTCTGATCAGGTATTTCAACCCCATAAATGCAGGCCTCCATCAGTACCTGGATGTCCTGTAGACAGATCTCATATCCATCCAATGACATCTGGATACGGGGCTCCAGGAGCTTCTTCAGGTTACCGATTGGCTCATTGATGTCGATGTCCTGTTGGATCAGATCGGCTGATGTAATGGTCTGCTCCTCAACTCTGAAAATGGCACGACCACATAAACAAAAAAACACAAATAGTAATGTTTAGTCATCAGTAGTAGGGAGGGAGCTGGGTTTGAATTGATGTGCTTATGGGTGCCTGTTCACATTGTAAAATATGTCATTCACCCCTCCTCCAGGCACTCCTGTTTCTCCTGTCCATCGATCTCAATCTCTATCATCTCCTCTGTCTCGCTTTTAGACATTGCTGTACCCCAATATTCAACCTATTCTGAGGAAGAGACAGACAGACCGGGGGATATCAATCAACATTAAGGTGACATCAAATGTTTTCAGATGTGATGGTAGAAACACATCGCTACAAAAGGTGGAAATCAAAGTTCATCAAATATACAATAAATAAAAAAACTGAGGACTAGTAGCAAAATTGTCACCATCATTGGGATTTTAGTAAATTATCATGAACACATTTTATGAACCGTGGCATTATATCAAGTAAAATCCACAAGGTTAATAGCTAGCTAGTGTGGGTCTTGATGGGAATGAAATTGGGTCATTCTCATGAAACTGTAAAAAAATATATATATATACATCTCAAGTCTCATTTTTCAAGAAATGTCCTCTTTAATCACTGAATCACTATTGATCTATTTCAGAATTATTATGTTTTTGATCAGATATTATGCATTTTGCCAACATTTTCACAAAATTCTCATTCCCGTAACAGTTTTCGAAGTCCAAAAAAGTAATAAACAAATCAATATTATAATATTTTTCAACATTGCTCACCTAATGACAAGGCCTGAGTTAAGCATAACACTAAAAAATAAACATATTTTACATTATACAATTATCATATAATTAAATCGGACTTTTTCCCAATTTGAGCTCTTTAGCGTTTCGGTTATGAGAAGGACAAGGGGGTGTTTGAGAATAATAACCTCATTCTGAAGGCATATAAGCAAATACATACACTTAACTTGTGTTCATCTAAGGACTACTCCTGTAGATGATGCATCATGGGTGATTAAAGCTTTATGTTAAAACTTATTGGAGTTTTTACAGGAACTTGAAAAAGTGTTATGTAATGAGACATGTCCACAGATACCGTTTGTATGTCATAAATATTATAGTTTCATGTAAACTTCAACTAGTATAAAATTTTTATGATTTATGGACAAACTACCGCAATATATTTGGGGTTTTATTCAAATAAGTTAGGTTTTTCTAAAGAATTTGTTAAATAAATTGACCCGATAATTTCATCCGGACGCATTTCAGCAATGAGAATTTGGAGTGAGAATTTACCAAATTCAGGCAAAAATTTAACACTTTCCCAAAAACTAAACATCTAGTCCTCAGAATGATAGTTGATTTTTGCAGATGAATCATGGTTTTGTAACTCAATTTGCTAGACATTTTAAACCTGTTTCATGAGAATCACCCAGTTGAGGGAGCCTCGGATTCTCATTGGGCGGCAGAGAGTTATGTGCGAGCTAAAGTACTAACTCGAGGGCGAGGCCTCTCCAAAGCGTAGGCCTTACGGTGGGCCATTAGTTGATAAATCATTACATAAACTTGATCAATTCTGAAAGCAAACACTTCTCAGATATATCGGTACTAATGTTCTTTATACGTGTAGCATAGCTGTACAATGCTGTAGCAATGCAATGCTAGCTATCCAGCATATTTGTCAGCGATGTTACGTGGAGGGGCGAGGCACGCGCGAAATACACAATTTATACTGACTGTAAGAAACATAATTCAATGAATAACTTATTTAAAATGTCGATTTAGATATACTCTGAAACTTAGAATCTGGAAAACTTTAAAACGGAAATGGAAGAAACGGAAACAAAACAGCAGAGGGGCAAACGCAAAGGAGCCGGAAATCCTGGCTAAGTTTACAGTGTTGTCTACAGACTTCCGAGAGCGGTCAGGGGGAAATACCGGAGTAATTTGCTCGATTAAAACGGACAGTAAAATGATATTTATAACATTGGGAAAACGTATTTATATATACCTAACCGTATAACGTATCACCAGGGCGAACAACTGGACTACAATGAACAAGCTGTCGTTGGCGTTAGCAATATTAGCTAGCTATCAATTACCACTGCTGGCTAATAGCTAGTTAACTAACGTGTCGAAAGTTGGATTTTGGATGGACACGTTTGAAGGCAAATCGTAGACAAGTCATTTGGAAAGTTATTTTGTAGTTTGGAAGTAATCTGAAAACGATTCCATTCAGTACAGTATTTAGACTTGATGTTAGTGTAAGTTATTGTTTTTAGGCTAATGAAGGTGGCATAGCGGATCAACAAGCTAGCTAGCTTTGTAGCCATCATTCTAGCTAGCTAGCAAACAGTTTGATACAAAAAGCGGGAAGACCGATTAGGCAAAGCTAGTGAAAGAAGATACAATTCCTTTCAGAGAGACAATGTAAAGGATTTCATATATGCATTGCAAATATTTGATGGTCATACACATACCTCTTAAAATGTACACTCCAAGATTGTGGACTTGATATATGAGTCGATGTAGGATAGCAAGCTAGCCTTTCCACTCAAATCGAATTCATGCAAGTTTTTGGTCAACAAGACAGGGGGCGGGGACTAGCTTGCTTTTTAGACATAGACAAGAGTTTACTCTTGTATCAAAGAAATTATCATGATATTTGTGTGTACATTATGCTGTGTATGTGTTATGTTATTGACTATAATTTTCAGCATGTAACCCACTTTGACCAGTCGGTTGTATGCATAGAATTATGTGGTGTAATAATTGAGCCATCAGTACTCCTTATTCCACAATGTCCTTCCTACAGAGGTCCTATTAAATTCTAAGCTCTACTATGTATTTTTTTGGTCCATCCTATGTCCTGAATTATTTTATACTCAAAGCTATAAAAATCCCTATCTTTAAGGGTAGGTAAACAAACAAGCTTCAAGTTTTAATGTCACGATCACAAGTACGGTGAAATGCCTTTCTTGCAAGCTCTAAACCCAACAATGCAGTAATCAATATCAATGTAGTACTAAAAATAACATGAGGTTTAACAAAAACATACGAGAAATAAACATGTGCAGTTCATGAGCTCTTATTACAGAAAGTGTAATTTTATTTCCAAGTATTATCTAGTATTATATTCATAGTATCATTATTCTGCAGTGCCTGTTCATAATAAATACATATTTTATGTAATGTTGATATAGGCCTATCTAGTCATCAAGAAGACTGATATTGTCCCAGTAGGTGGTATCTGCATAATACCGGTACTCAGAGCCTCAGACATCTCAAACAAAAATTACCCTATCAGTGATCAGCAATCAGTGGGTGGTAGGGGCTAGACTGATTTCACACTGAGCAACACATTCATTAGCCATCATCTCACAACTTATTACAGTTATAAGACAATTTCAGAGTGTCCAAATAAATATATTTGTAACCACAATGTTTTTGTGTTACTATCTAGCTACATAAGGTTCCAGTAAAGTTATGGGAGAAATCAAGATGACCTACAAAAAGAAATTGCCTCGATTTCTATACATAATAGGCCTGGAGCTCCACCCCATAGTATATGGCCAACTATTCCACGCAATTTATCCAAAGCGACGTACAGTTAGAATTGCATACATTTTACGTATGGGAGGTCCCGGGAATCGAACCACTACCCTGGCGTTTAAAGCGCCATGCTCCACCAACTGAGCTACAATCGGCCACTTCCAGTTTAGGTTTATAAAAGCTTTTGAAACTTCATTCCAGTTCATAAAAAATATGCATGATCGATTGATGGCCAGTGTTTGGTAAAGTATGTACAGGTTTTCCATCTGGTACAGTATAAAATCAGTGCGCAGACGAGACCGGAAGTGTATAATTTGTGACGTCAAAAGTGTCTTCGACAGAATCGAAAATGGCGGAGTACCTGGCGTCCATTTTCGGTACAGAGAAAGATAAGTGAGTACTATATGACGAGAACTTCCACACTAGGCTATATCATGCACAATTAGCAGTGAAATGGTAACGGCGCCTTAGCTTGGCTAGCTAGGTAGGTAGTGAGTACTGTACTTAACGCGTTAGAATGATGGGGATATAGTCATTGGGAAAACGTTACCATGTTGTTGAACATGTGAACAGATGGATAAGGGATCTGTAAAATGTACATTATATTGCTTAGTGACCTGTTAGTCAAAATCTAGACACTATTTTGTGTGACACTAGTGATTTTCAACGTTAAAGTTCGGACTAGTTAGGGAAACACTGCTGGCAACTCACTTTTTGATAAGTGTCCCAAATTGTTAGCTAGCTATACCAAGGATTGTCATCTGTTGTTATACATCCAGTAGCTATAATGCTAACGTTAGCTAGCTAGCTCCCAAGATCATCCAGATGCTCATAGCATTTGCCCTGTAAAGTGTGTTGTGTATCCAAGGTTGAAGAAATTGTGAGACCGAAAATATAGCTAGTAATGATGCGCGGCTTGACAACCCGCAGTCCCCGCGGACAGGTTTAGGGTAATTAAATATTGTGTGGCTGAAGGGCCAGTTGGTGGCGGGCGGGTTGAATAAAGATAAACAATACCTCAAGAAAATCCATATATGTATAATTAGTGTGCAATTTATATAGGCTACATTGGGGTTTTTCTTACAATATTTTAGGCTATCTGGTATTACTGCATAAGCCTAAACTTTAGGGCTTAACTATATGCGCGCCAATCTCCAAATAATGCTTTTGAAAACGTGCAGAAAAAGTTAACATCAATCCACGGAGGCAAAAAGTAAATTGTCGAAGTTTAATTCAATAAGACAAAAGCTGCGAAAGGAGAGTTGAAAATAAAGAGAAGGGAGTGCCAGAAAAGTAATATTTGGTGAAGTGTTAAAAGAGGATGATGGCAGTGCCGCCTATGTTATGGGTGATGATTGATTGTGAGGCTGTATACACATTCGACAGTCACAAGACGGGACTTCAAATAGTAGGTCTATGGCATGTCAAGGGAATTCTAGCCTACTGTCTAGATGGGTTAAATGGAAACTGACATCTGGACATTGACTAACCAGAATAACCTACTGTTTCCTACCAGAAACTCCAGTCCTCTGATGATAATAGTCCCGTGAGAATCGACATCCCTGTGTCTTGAGAGAAATGTCTGAGTTTGACAGGTGTTACTCGCGGTTTGAGCAAGAAAACAATAACTGATTCGAAAAATTGAACGAAGTGCTGCACATAGCCTATATATGAAGGACCTACATGTATCAACTTTCACAGTGAATGCTTTTGTTTATACATTTTGTGCAAATTAATTGAACATTGCCAAATGCATCATAAAAAAAATATTGCGCCTCTCGAATAATGGACATTCGAATAACAAATCTTTCAAATACAAAATATACACTTACTATGCACAGTTTATGGTTGAGCTGATCGTGGACTTCGGGAAAAGGGGGCGCACACCCCCAAAGACGAGGCCGCAGTTGAGAGGGTCAAGAGCTTAAAGTTTGTCTGTGTCCACATTTACATTTTACATTTTAGTCATTTAGCAGACGCTCTTATCCAGAGCGACTTACAGTTAGTGAGTGCATACATTTTCATACTGGCCCCCCGTGGGAAACGAACCTACAACCCTGGCGTTGCAAGCGCCATGCTCTAACAACTGAGCTACACATCACTGAGGACTTATCATGGTCCTCTCACATAAGCACAGTCGTGAAGAAGGCTGAAACGATTTGGCATGGCCCCTCACATCCTTAGTAATTTTTACAGCTGCTCCATCGAGAGCATCCTGACTGGTTGCATCACCGCTTGGTATGGCAAATGCTCGGCATCCGACCACAAGGCACCATGGTGGTATGCCTTCAACATTTTGTTACAGCCTTATTCAACATTGAAGGTCCCCAAGAACACAGTGGCCTCCATTATTCTTAAATGGAAGAAGTTTGGAACCACTAAGACTCTTCCTAGAGCTGGCCGCCTGGCCAAACTGAGCAATCTGGGGAGAAGAGCCTTGGTCAGGAAGGTGACCAAGAATCCGTTGGACAGAGCTCTAGAGTTCCTCTGTGGAGATGGGAGAACCTTCCAGAAGGTCATTGTCCTGTTGGAAGGTGAACCTTAGCCCCAGTCTGAGGTCCTGAGCGCTCTGGAGCAGTTTTTCATCAAGGATCTCACTGTACTTTGTTCCTTTCATCTTTGCCTCGATCCTGACTGGTCTCCCAGTCCCTACCGCTGAAAAACATCCCCACAGCATGATGATGCTGCCACCACCACCATGCTTCAGGGGATGGTTCCAGGTTTCCTCCAGATGTGACGCTTGGCATTCAGGCCAATGTTGGTTTCATCATACCAGGGAATCTTGTTTCTCATGATCTGAGAGTCTTTAGGTGCCTTTTGGCAAACTCCAAGTGGGCTGTCATGTGCCTTTTACTGAGGAGTGGCCTCCGTCTGGCCACTCTACCATAAAGGCCTGATTGGTAGAGTGCTGCAGAGATGGTTGTCCTTCCCGTCTCCACAGAGGAATTCTGGCGCTCTGTCAGAGTGACCATCGGGTTCTTGGTCACCTCCCTGACCAAGGCCCTTCTCCCCCGATTGCTCAGTTTGGCCTGGCGGCCAGCTCTAGGAAGAGTCTTGGTGGTTCCAAACATATTCCATTTTAGAATGATTGAGGCCACTGTTCTTGGGGATCTTCAATGCTGCAGAAATGTTTTGGTACCCTTCCCTAGATCTGTGCCTCGACACAATCCTGTCTTGGCGCTCTACGGACAATTCCTTCGACCTCATGGCTTGGTTTTTGCTTTGACATGCACTGTCAACTGTGGGACCATTATATAGACAGGTGTGTGCCTTTCCAAATCATGTCCAATCTATTGAATTTACCACAGGTGGACTCCAAGTTGTAGAAATATCTCAAGGATCAATGGAAACAGAATGCATCTGAGCTAAATTTCGAGTCTCATAGCAAAGTGTCTGAATACTTATGTAAATAAGGTATTTCTGTTTTTTATTTGTAATAAATGTGCAACATTTCTAAACCTGTTTGCTTTGTCATTATGAGGTATTGTGTGTAGATTGCTGAGGATTTTTGATTTATTTAATCAATTTTAGAATAAGGCTGTAACGTAACAAAATGTGGAAAAAGTCAAGGGGTCTGAATACTGTACATGTACATATTCCAAATCAAATTGTATTTGCCACATGCGACGAATACAACAGGTGTAGACCTTACAGTGAAATGCTTACTTACAAGCCGTTAACCAACAATGCAGTTTTAAGAGAAAAAAAAAGTGTTAAGTAAAAAATAGAAGTTAAAAAATAACAAATAATTAAAGAGCAGCAGTGAAATAAAATAACAGTAGGGAGGCTATATACATGGGGTACTGGTACAGAGTCAATGTGCGGGGGCACCGGTTAGTCAAAGTAATACAGTTGAAGTTTACATACACTTAGGTTGTAGTCATTCAAACTCGTTTTTCAACCACTCCACACATTTCTTGTTAACAAACTATAGTTTTACAAGTCGGTTAGGACATCTACTTTGTGCATGACACAAGTAATTTTTCCAACAATTGTTTACATACAGATTATTTTACTTATAATTCACTCTATCACAATTCCAGTGGGTCAGAAGTTTACATACACTAAGTTGACTATGCCTTTAAACAGCTTGGAAAATTCCAGAAAATGATGTCATGGCTTTAGAAGCTTCTGACTTTTTATTTTAATTTTAAATTTCACCTTTTATTTAACCAGGTAAGCCAGTTGAGAACAAGTTCTCATTTACAACTGCAACCTGGCCAAGATAAAGCAAAGCAGTGCGATAAAAACAACAGAG